GAGCAGGTACCTCTTTTACAATCTTTCTAATCTGGGGTTCAAAACCCATGTCCAGCATCCGATCAGCCTCATCTAGTACAAGATATGAAACCTGATGTAGACTGATTCTCCTCATCTCGAGAATATCATTCAAACGACCAGGAGTTGCAACTACAATATCTACTCCACGGTCTATATCCCTCAATTGTGGACCCTTTGGTGCTCCTCCATATAGACACTGTAAATCACAAATAATATTTAGTTTGGGCCAAAAAATCTATGGAATATTTAATCCAATTTCAGCATGCTTAGGAGGCGAGGAAGCAGTTACAAAGTAATCGGAGAGAAAATAAAAAAAGAAGCTAAACATACACAAGATCATGGGGTACTTCCGAAGAATAATGCCTTGCCTAACAGATAATAAAACCAATACCCCACAGGAAATGCAGCATTACACCATGTTGAAATTCTCAAGTGTCTTCCCAATTCTAAACATTTTATTGTTCATGTCATCAAAGTGATCACAAAAATCATGTCACTACCATAATTTTGTTCTGAGCAAACAGTTACTAAAGCCAAGACGTCAGTGCAAAACAACATGTAAGAACATTTAAGGCATGAGATTAGTAAGTATTCACCATAAGAAAGTGGACAAACCAGCAATAATTTGGAGATGGAATTATAAAGCTCCAATTGAACTGAAAAAATAATAGTAATGAATAAAACCTATATTAGAACAAGCATACCGCACAAGAGATTCTTGATGATTTCCCAAACTTCACGGCTTCATCTTGAATCTGTGTTGCCAATTCCCTTGTTGGTGACAGCACCAAAACAGTAGGGCCTAGCTTAGGATCACTTCGAATGCGCTTGAGATGAATAAAACCAGGTATTAAGTACCCAAGAGTTTTTCCTGAGCCTGTTTTAGCAATAGCTACAATATCTCTACTTTGAAGAGCAATTGGCCATGATTGCGCCTGAATTGGAGTTGGAGCAGAGAACCCTGCATTATGTACCTGGAAAAGTCACCCCTATTAAGCAGAGGAGGCTTCAAAATATCTGGTTGGTTTTCATTTTTCCATTTTTACACGAATACGCTAAGTCCAGAAGAAGCAGCATCCCCCATATGCATGTGGCCAATGCTTGCTGATTGCAAGCTGCAGAAGGAGGAGGCCTCTTCTTTTGTACAAACTTAGTGGGACTGAATCATCACCAACGGCAGTCCCGGCTGCAAATATGGGTGATTCGGAAAGCCCTTCCCAGAAATTGGTCCACCATAAAAGGGCACTCCAAATTAAAGCAAGCCCCCAAACAAAGAGGGCACCACAGCGTACGACATTAGCTCCTCCCAGGAGCAAATATCGCACCTGCGACAAAAAAGTACAGGTGACAAAAAGAATTAACATGACCCCAGCAACCACTAAACTTTCAGCAGAAACATTGGTTTTCTATAGCTGAGCATTCCTACTGAATTATCAGCCATGGCTATTCTACAAAGATTAAAATCAACAAAGTCATAGAACAAAGTGGAAAATCATACCTCCCTAAGAATCTCAGGTGGGAAACCAGTGGCTTCAAATGATGAAAATGGTGGCGGCACATTATCTCCCTAGCAAAAGAATTAACAGAACAATCAATTCTACTATGAGAAGAAATATAATGAACATCATTTCATTTGCATTCAGATAATGGAGGTAAATTTCGAGAGGATAGCGGATTAAGATAACACCCTAAAGAAGCACAGAAAATCCAATCAGCTCTAAGAAAAAATAGAAATGAATTTTGGTGACTACATTCTAATGACCTTCAAAACTAGCACTCACCGAAAAAGTTATTTCATGTCGCTGTCGATAAGACTCTGCAGATAAACAACTTCCAGCATCTGACGGTCTATGTCCTTTCAATGATGCTCCTCCATGTCCAGTACTAGATAGTCCATTTAAGGTATCATGTGACTGAAAGGTTTCACCCCTTGCAACCTGATGTAAAATTGGGTCACACTAATCATATACGATTGAGTGCATAATACTTATTATATATTCACATCTCATATGTTTGACCAAAATGTCTGAAGTTGTTTTATAACATAAAACGACATCCAAAATCATTTCAAGAAATTAGTTTGCCAGAACATTTCATTTAAGTTTATAATCAATCAAATTTTTAGATAATAATATTAAAACATACATAATATAAGAAGAGTTGATACTAATGGCCTTAAAAAGTTTTAGTACCAGAAAGGTCATGGAAGATGAACATGCTAAAAAGTTAAAAGTTCAACATTCGTTAGGGTTGAGATACAGTGTACGTATTTCCTTTGTAATCAAATAAAAAAGAGACCTAATATTTGTGTACTTGACTCTACCTCATGTTTGGGTGCCCCATGGGAAACTCTTCCATACTTATCGTTACTTTCATTCAAATTGTTGCCATAAGAGTGGCCTGAAGAGGGCTTTTGAACTTGAACTGAAGAACTTATGGACACTATTGATGAATTAAGAGGAGCAGCAGCCACAGGTCTCTCGTATTGGGTGACATTAGTTTCTGGATTCCAAAAGTAAAGATACCCTGTTTTTCCATCAACTAAACCTCTCCATGGTTTGGGAAGGGTTGGATCCTCTGGCGCATATCGTGGGCCAACAGACACAGCAGTAGCAGTAGCCGCCATAACAAGGGAACAGAAGATACAACTCAACGGCTGAAAAAATAAATACAAAGAATTAGATGAGATGTCCGTGCAATGCTCACATATGCAACTACGAATAACTGTAAGAATACAAGACTATGACTAGACGGAAAAAAAAAACTGCTGGCAAATCTAGGGCAAAACGTTTTGAACTAATTGTAAGAATACAAGACTAGAGGAATCCCCTCTGGCCACGGTAACCACTAAGCACTAGGCTTCCAGAAGATAGAACCATGAAGGGAAAATCAGCCATTATCTTTAAAAGAAGTACAATAAACACTGGATCTATGCTCTTGCGATGGCCATTTAAGACAGATAAACATAAACATTAAACAATAAATCTAGGACGAGATCAAACTACCAAAAATCTCAATCCTTATTCCGAGCTAATGCACGAACAGAAACACAGAAAGAACGAAAAATCATTCAAAATCAACCTGTCTCGGAGCCTCCGCCAACCGCAGAACAGGTTGAGGCCTTGAAAAGAAAGATACAATCGCACGAAAACCTACGCGCTACAGCATATGCTGAATTCTAGAGAAATGAAAGCAAAACTGAACGCCGAGCGGAAACAACCTAAGATTCTCCAGACCCCATCAAAAGTGAACAAAAAAAAAGCACGAGCAACATAAATCCATGCCTTCAACCAAAGATTCTAAACAAATAAACAGCCGAAACAAGAACCCCAGAGAAAATGCAACCCTAAACCAACAAGGCAGCACCAAAATGAAAGGAAAACCGCTAGATCTGCAACTCCAGCAAGGAAATTCGGGAAAATAGGATCCTAACCTGAGAGAAATGAGGCCGCGTGGAAGGAAAACGAACCGAAAATCGAAACAATAGGTATGCGTTATCTCTCTACCACGCTCCCAAATGCAGAGAAGCGTAGAGAGAGATGGTGGAGCGAAAAAATTGGGAATCGATTGCTATTTATACAAACTGGACGTTTGGGTGCGGTCACGGCCTTCACTCTAACCGTGGTTAATCTGATCCCAACTCTGGTTACCTCATATGCATAAAACATTCGTGTATGTTTTAAAATCTCTTTTTCGTCGTCAAACTTTCAATAATATTTTATTTTTAATTCTAAAAAATTTAGGTTTATTTTATTTGGATCCCTCTAGTTTCAAAATATTTATTTTAATATTTACCTTCATTTTAATTTCCACAAATTAATCACATATTTTATATTTTAAGCAAAATTATAAAAAAAAATCAAATGTTATTTTAAAAGTTACAATATCGTTGGGCTATTTTAAACAACATTTTAAAATTTATCATGAAATATAAATCTTTTAAACAGTTAAACAAAAAAGAAGGTTATATTTTAAACTTGGAAGAAGGTTATATTTTAAACTTGGAGGACTAGTTTGAGTGAGGCAGAATGTCACAATGTCTAACTATGAGGAAGGTAGGTTGTGACTGTCACGTTGTTTAAGTGAGAATGTCACAGCCTAACTATGGAGAAAGTAGGCTGTGATCCTCACACGTTGTTTAACTATGGAGAAAGTAGGTTGTGATCCTCACACGTTGTTTAACTATGGAGAAAGTAGGTTGTGATCCTCACACGTTGTTTAACTATGGAGAAAGTAGGTTGTGATCCTCACGTTGTTTAACTATGGAGAAAGTAGGTTGTGATCCTCACACGTTGTTTAACTATGGAGAAAGTAGGTTGTTTAAGAGTGGGAAAGAATGTCACAATCTAATTACGAAGAGAGTAGGTTGTGATCCTCACGTTATTTAAGTGGGGAAGAATGTCACAATCTAACTATGAAGAGAGTAGGTTGTGACCCTCATAGTGCGACAAGAGAAGCGATGACCCTCGAGTGACACCCATCCAACCACGCGAGTGTCTAGACAAGTGTCATGATGCGACCGAGGAGGATGGTGCATCATCTAACAAACCACATTGAGTGGGCATTGAAGAGAAGTCGAGACATGAGAAAAATATGAGCAACAAGTAGACATGATTTTGGCAAACGGTCATACTACGTCATGGAGCATCCATCCGACGTCTGATTAACACCAAATTTGGTGAGCATTCATATTTTATGTGATGGACTTAACTCCAGAACCACATATCCAAAATCTTTACGAAACCCCACAGTGGCGCTATTGGCTTCCTATAATAGGGCTGTCGTGTTCAGGGGTGGCGCTATTGGCTGTTCTAAAAGCAAAATATAGTGTACAACAGAGACTGAACAACACAGGCCAGCTAAATAATGATAGAATTAAAGCCTCATCCTCCCAACAGTTAATTATTTACGGAGCCAAATTACTTTGTTCTATAGAACACCACGTTTTTTTACTGCAGAAAGAGGCTTTACAAATCAAATCATTCAGTTTTGGTGGCTATACACTTGACCAAATCTAAGATTCTAAAGTAGTCATAAAACAAGATGGATTCTTTGCCCTCGAGTCCGTCTCGAGTGTACCTATTGCTACCCGTAAGGTTATTACAAGGGCTCCCTCCGACTACGAGATCGAAACCTCCAAATAAGTTCATATAGTATTGTAACCTATCTGCATCTAGCTCTTGCACATCAGCAAGATCAATCAAAGTACCTTTTTGGTTCGTTTGCTCCCACCAACTTCGCACAATGTTTCGGTTCACTTCTGAGATATCGACCGAGACTACATTTTTTAGCGGGATACCGAGGCGATGAAGTGCCACTTCTGCACCTCCGATACCAGAAAAGAGCGAGAGGAGATTGATTCCTCCTGGGAACATGTCCTTCAAAACCGAAAGATGATACGCCACGGTGTCGACCTGAAACAATGCAATGTTGTAGCCAAATATGTCGTAAGATATCACAACCGTCGAACGTGAGTCAATTTCTATCATTAAATTGGGTCGTATTCAAAAGATAATTTCAGTGTGATCTAATACGATAAGACTCGGGAGGACGAAATGATCGGTACCTGGAATGAATTGCCAAGAGACTTGTATCTATCTGTTCTACTGATTCCACCCCCTCTAGTATGGTTCTTGGGGAATCCCAAAAGCATTTCTACTTCATCGGGTTCGAGTGGGGCAACCTTATTTTTTCCGACCCAAACCAAATTCCATTTTCGACATTGTTCTACGACAAACTTTTGCACATGTAATGGCAGATCCCGTTCGCCATCGTAATCTTCAAGAGCTTTACGAATCCTATCGGTCAATCGAGCACTTCCAATGCAAGTTTGTAAACAATTTAACTGTGTTCTAAAATCCCATGAAGGCCACCATTTCCTTGTTAAAGGAAATGCTTCATGAACAGTGTGGGGAGGCAAAGGAAGAAGAGGAAATCTGTTATGTATTGGGAGATTATGAACATAGCCTCTTTTTCTTGCAGCAGCACAGAAATATTTGGAATCAACAAATTCGGGTTCAACGTCGTATAAGAAGCGGGAAATTGTATTCCATACTCCTTTGGGAGCGAGCGCCACATTTTCGTAGTAAAAGTAGGGAGGTCCCATGGCTGCTTCTGGAATTTTTCTGTGAACTGTAGGAGACAGTTCATTCGGAACCCCGAACCCAACCATTGGGTTTGGCAAACGAATTGTCTCGTCGTCGTCGTCATCAAGGCACCTCGGCTTCTTCTTTTTCCATGGCTCGTAATCACAATGCCTTCTCTTTTTGAGCTTACTGCAGGCATTGAGATTCGTCGGCTTTGGCTGTTCAAATAATATCAGCACAGACGTTTAAGCGGGTTTCGTTTCCGTTATGACGCGTGCAGAGCTTTAAGATCAAGAATTTGATAAGACAGAAAAGTTACCCTATCAGGGAGATCACCAAGAAGAACATCTGCAGCCTTTGAAATTTGAGCAGCAGATATAAAATCTGTCAGCTCTGCAATTGAGGAATGCACACCTGCCAATTTTAGAACAATTAAGAGAAGTGATGCTTAGATATTAAAGATTTATAAGTCCTACAAGGAGGTACTAGCCACATCTCTCTATTGCTGCATAAGCTTCATCTTCAGAGTATCCCATGTCCACCAAGAACATCCTTTTGTTATCAACATCGGATACTGGTTTTGCAGTCCCCTACACGACGAACCAAACTATCATGAAACATGAGTAGCGTCGAATATAGAAGTAATTCATAATCATCCGGTTAGGATTGATCTAAACCAACTCATTATGTATACAATTCAACGTGTCAGCTACTAAACAACTTATTAGAAACACAAGACAACCAATCAGAAATATCACCAAATCGCTCGCCCTTTGGGGATGCCCTCAGCGTCGAGGAACATGTACTAGGGTGTATATGCGACTCGTTCGGACCATGGACCGAGACAAAAAAAAAAAGAAAGTACAAAAGTTTTCCCGTATAGTGAAAAATACCAGCATCAGATACCGGTTTTGCAGTCCCCAACACGATGAACCGAACTATCATGAAACGTTGAGTAGCAAGGAGGGATAAGCATTGACCGACTCAAATTTTTTTAATGAAACACCTTCTCAAAATGAAGGAAAGAATGCCACAAATGGTGGGCATTTTAGCGGGCAAATCTTTTCCCTATCTTTTAAGGGGGTCGACTCAAGATTTTGGAAGGAATCCTTTAGCTAGCTTTGTATATCTGACACGAGCCATATGGTTTATACTTGATCTTGTAAATCTACTTGCAGTCAATGGCTTGTTTCCTATTAGTTTTCGGTTTCATTCCCGCTGCTGTAAAGGAATATCTGATTCTGATTCTTTCATTCGGTAAGGGTTCCTATATATATATAAAAAGACAAGCCCCTAAAGGAAATGGCTCTAATTGAGCAAAATAGAACCTATAGAATAATTACAAAAGCTCATCGACGTCGAAGCCCAAGGGACTAAACCAAAGAGACCACAAGATAGAGCACACAACCCGACAAGCCATAAAAATCGGCCCTTTTCACGAAAGGACAAATGGAGGATGAACTCTCCAATCATATCACAAAATGACTAGAAAGCAATCTGCTCCATGAAACCAAAGAAAAACAACCGACCTCATTTTCAGAATCACTGTCTGTATCAGTAAAATCATCCAGAAAACTTCCACCGTAATCTGAAAACGAGTCGTCACTATCGACATGCTGCTGCTTCGGAGGAGAATTTTCAAGAGCCTGCCAGAAGAAAAGGAAATGATCTCAACATATATAAATATGAAAGAGAAGGTGACAGTTGCTAGTCAGTGATAGATGTATAAGAAAAGAAGGTCATGACGACTTCTAGGCAACGATCTTCGAGTATCTTACGAAACAACTGGTTGAGATCTCAACAATGTCCCAGACACGTGAAATCCAGTTCCTTAGGCTAAGTAAATACGAAATGGACAGTCTAATATGTCGTCATCTGAGAAACTCACCGACATCGTGAGGAGAGTCTCAAGTATAGAATTCGTATTTTCCTCTCCTGGATAGTCCATCAAAACACATAAGAAATTACTAAAAATCTTGTTTCGTTTCTTATAAAAACTATTAAATGAACAAATAAGAAATTACCGTTTTCCTCGATAGCTTTAGAAACCATTTTTGCAGAAAATCCCATTCCAATAAATTGATCAACTATCTTCGAGTTCGAAGGACCTGCAGATGAGCTTCCCTTCGTGAGGAAAACAAAAAAGATAAATTAGAATTAGTAACACAACAAAATCCTATGCATCAATCTAAGCTTGACATTGTCAAAATAATATTGTCTAGTGTTTTTTAACAAACCGAAAACTAACACGGACAAACTTTACTACAAATGTCGACGTAAAATACCATATTTTCCTCGACACCAGGAAACGCCAAGCTCGCATGAGAGGCTAAAGGTATATTCTCAATTTCTAGCTCATCTTCAGTGTCCCAGTCAATGTTATCAACTTCAACACCAAAATCGTCCCCAGCCTACACAAAATAACGTACAAGCAGAGTTGAACCAAACAGTAAAAAGAGAAAAGGAGAAAAGAAAGGGCTAATTGCTTGGATATTTAAAAGAAAATAATTACATAATAGTCCCTGATATTTTGAATTACTCAATTTTTGTGAGATCCCACCTCGGTTGGAGAGGGGAAACGAAACCTACTTTATAAGGGCGTTGAAACCTCTCCCTACTAGACGCATTTAAAAAATTTTGAGGGGAAGCCCGAAAGGGAAAGCCCAAAGAGGACAATATCTACAAGTTGTAGGCTTGAGCCGTTACAAATGGTATCAGAGTCAGCCACTAGGCGATGTGCCAGCGAGAAGGGTGAGCTCTGAAGGGGGTAGACAAAAGGCAATGTGCTAGCAAGGACGCTGGCCCTGAAGGGGGTGGATTGGGGGGGTACCACATCGATTGGAGAAGGGAACAAGTGCCAGCGAGGACGCTGGGCCCCAAAAGGGGTGGATTGTGAGATCTCACATCGGTAGAGGACAATATCTACTAGTGGTGGGCTTGAACTGTTACAATTTTACCCCTAATATTTTATTAAGTCAACTAAAAATTACTATTGCTTAGAATATTGTTTGAGAGAGGAATTTCATATACACATACCATCCTTATGTCCTGGTGGACTATGATTTGGTGGAAGATGGGGCCTTCAAGCTGCAAACAAATACAACTAAACATTGAGAGGCAAGAGATGCCGTTAGAATTCATTAAAAATAAATAAATAAAATAAAAACTTGCAAACCGTTTTTTTTAATTCATTACAATACGACCCTTGAATTATAGAAATTAGATAATGAATCTAACCCAACCATAATTTCGCTTATAATTTAACTAATATTTAATATATGCTTATAATTTCGCTCTATCAATTTTTACCCTAAACTTTTAATTTTATCAACTATTCAAATTATTAATGTCATCGACTATTCAAATTATGTTAATTTACCCGCAAATTTTAACGCTCACTAATTTAAAAAAAATTAAATTCGATAGGTGCGAAAGACCATCTACTAAATAACTCCACCAAAACTTATCGTATTCGTCTAAGTCTAATCAATTGCATACCGAGAATACGATGTATAATTCATTCAATGTACATAAGAATATTAACAATTTCTCCCATGAAATGTGTCACAAGGTATAAATTGCAACATTTTATAAAAGTTTATGAGCAAATTACACCTTATTATATACACCCTGCCAAAAAGTTAGGGTTAAAATTGATTTTTTTTTTCCCTTATTTTAATTAAATTATTTGTATAAACATAAACAATAATAAAAACTTTTTTTATTACCACTTTCTTCTCTCCCTAAGAAAGGTTCTTCGTCTTCCCTTCCGTAACCGATCCCCAACAAATCGAATGCCTAATTTTCAACAGAAATGATGAACAGAAACGGAATCAAATCCGGTATGAGTGTTGTTTCTCAAGCATCCGATTCAAACCACTCGAAGACTAAGAAATTTCACATGCAAATGGAATCAAACACTCGATCCTACTTTTTACGAGCGATCAGAACAGAAATACAGGGCCGTCGAAAGGGAAAAGGTGATTAAAAATTGAAAATCAAACTTTCTAGATCTGGAGAATTCGGAAACGAAAATTAGCGAGGAAAAAACAAACGTACCTAAGAAAAATGAGTTCGTTGGATGAAATTAACTCGGAGAAAAATGCCGAGAAATAATGCGAAATCTCTCTGTCGCGCTTCTGAAACTGGAGAAGCGCGGAGAGATGGTCGCCGGAGAGAATCAGAGAACCATTTATGTAATCGCCGATGAAGGGGAGGGAAATTGGTGTCTTCCGCCGTCGAATCTCCGGATTGGATATTTCACTTTCACTCTCTAACCATGGTACAAAGTCATTATCTCGAAGTTCAGTTGAGTTGGGTTGGTTTCGTTTGATAATTATTTTATTTTATTTAAAAAAGAATATTCGATATGCAATATTTAAGAGTGGGGTCAGGTTGGTCAGCTTTATCCAGATGCTTTGAAATAAATAGTTTATATTTTATTGAAAATAGACTAAATTAATAAAAATATTCATAAATGTTGTATTTTATTTAAAATTTTAAATTAAATAATAATAATAATAATACTATTCAACTTTATAAAAAGTTTTACTTTATTTAAAAAATATTTTATTTTTAAAATATTGTTATATTTAAAAATATCTATAAAATTTTAAAAATAATATTAATACTATTTACCTTTATATAAAATATTTATGATCAAGAATTATCTCTAAACTTTTTAACATTATTTTTTAAAATTTATCAATATTTTTTTAAATTTGTACTAATCATAAGGTATCTTTAAAATTTTTTAAAAATATTTAAAAGATGTTTTTGGAACTTTTAAAAATTAAAGGTATTTTTTAAATAATTTTTTCAACTTTTTGTTTATTATTTTTTTTGTAGTATTTTTTTTATATATAATTTTTTAGAAAAAATTTAAAATTTAAGAATATTTTTATTAATTTAGATGTCCATTTCAATAATATCTCCAACTTTTAAAATTATTCTTTAAATTACATTTCAATTATTTAAAAATACTAAAAAAAACAATTCTAAAATTTTTATTAATATTTTTATTTTTTTTCCAAAAGTTTATGAAAACGGGACTGTTAGTGTAACCTTTAAAAAATAACATTAATTTTAAAATATCATATGTTTGAATATTCCACTCGTGTTCAGTGAACAAGGTGTGTATAAATATAATATAAAGTTGATATGTACCAGGACTTCGATGAAGGAGTTCAGTTCATTCGCGCTGATGACATGAAAGTTTGACCACTTCTCTTCAAACTCGCGCACCGCCAATTTCGGTGGTTCACTTCCTCCTAATAGGTCTTCAATCTTCCGGTATATGATCACCAGATCATCATCGTGATCAGCATTCAGCATCAAATCTGCAGTACGTGATGTTGCGAACTTTACTGGTTCACGGGCGTAACAAGAGTTGTGGTTGGGATAAGCAGTATGTCAAAAAGTCAAAAGTATTCGAGTTCTTACTCTGCCACGTCGGATAAAAAATAAAATTGGACAAATAAATGTTATTAACTTATACGACATATATCTCATGCGATAGAAATTTGAATTCCGGATCCAATTGGAGGGCCCATTATTTTGCATTTCTTATTGGGCTTTCTCGAGGCCCAAATGTAGTAATGAATGCACCGCTTTATCATTTTTCCATATTTACCCTCCCATGGTTAAAACGTTCGCCGTAAATTTGACATGACTCGAGTGAAAAATAATTTGTCGCACCAATATTCACACCAAGCGTAAAAACAACATAAACGGTAATAACGAGAGATTGAACGGTTAATTTAAAAGTGTTGTTTATATTTTATATTTTAATTAAAAAAAATAAATTTAAACTTTCAAAATTTTCAATAATACCCTTCAACTTTAAAAATACGGAGGAATGTTAATATTGTTTACAAAATATAACGACCCAGATCCACCATGAACAAATATTGTCCTCTTTGGATTTTCTCTTTCTGGCTTCCCCTAAAGACTTTAAAACGTGTCTGTTAGGGGAATGTTTCTACACCCTTATAAATGGTGGTTTGTTCTCCTCCCCAACCAATGTGGGACATCACAATCCACCCCCATTCGAGGCCCGGCGTCCTCGCTGGCACTCTTTCCTTCCTCCAATCGATGTGGGACTGCCCCCAAATCCTCCCCTCTGGGGCCCAGTGTCCTTACTAGCACACCACCTCGTGTCTACTCCCCTTCGAGGAACAGTAAGAAGGCTGGCACAACGTCCGGTGTCTAGCTCTAATACCATTTGTAATGGCCTAGATCCACCGCTAGCAGATATTGTCCCTTTCGGACTTTTCCTCAAGGCTTTAAAATGCGTCTACTAGGGGAAAGTTTCCACACCCTTATAAATGGTGGTTTGTTCTCCTCTTCAACCATCGTGAGACATCACAAAAAAAAATACTATTGAATTTTATAATGATAGATGATGTTAATGTTACTTTTAAAATTTCATAGCTATTTTTTTTAAACATACTATTAAATATTTTTTATTTTTCTAAAAAAAGGAAATGTGTTAATGATTTTTTTTTTAAAATTCAACATTATTTTAAAAACAATATTAAAAGTTGATATTTTTTAAACAAAATTTAACGTTTCCATTCGAAGACTAGCAGGAATAATATTTTATAATGGTTATTTTTGCAACAAAGTACAAAATTTATTAATATTTTTATTAATTTAACCTAAACATAAAACTTGAATCACAATTTTAAATTAAAAAAATATGAATTTTACACAAAATTTTAAGCAATAAAATGAATTATACTGGGTAAACATCAATATTATATAACTTATTCCATTTAATTTTGTATAATAAATAAAATATGAATAATATTAAACTTTTTTGAAACTTAAATGACAATTCACACTTTTAAAAGAGCAATTTACACAAAAATTTATGCAATAAATTAATTATAAAGTATTAATCGAAAAAGGTTGGATTATCGTTGTCACGCTCGTTACTAGTCAATATTATTTAATTTATTATATTCATTTAAAAATAAATAAACAATAGACAGCTTCAACCATAATTCCCAATTATTTTATATATACAAAATTCACACGCACACAATTTCTTTTTAAAATTTTTTTTTTTGTACAAATTGATTAATTATTAAGAATATCGTCCATGCTTCTCGTCTGTCAAAATCATATAAATAAATTATTGTGCTCAAAATTTCAAAATTCACATGTATAACAATGGAAGCATGAAAGGACAAAATAATAATAATAAATAAATAAATAAGCAATAATAACAATAATAAGAGACTGAATTGAAAATTATTAATAAATGCATTACAATTATATAGAAATTTATAAACAATAAATTTAAATTTTAGAGATAAATAACATTTAAAACGAGTTTTCCCATTGTAGATTTATTATTTTAATTATTTTAATTCTTAATAGAATAATAAATAAAATAATTTTAAAATAATTATCTTAAAAAATATTAAAATTAAATTAAATGAGAGAGAGAGAGAGAGAGGGAACCCATCCCAGAAGAGAAGGCACGAGATCCGGGATGAACTGAATTTAACGGTTTTACGTTGACACGGCGGCCAATTCACATGCATATATATATATATATATATATATATTTATTTATTTATTTATTTTATTTTGCATGTCATACGGCGCCGTTTTCGGGTACCTCTTTTTCTGCTAATTCCAATTTGGAGCCTTAGATCATTCCCTAAAATGCGAAAGTCGTAAATTCCAATTTTAATTTCGAGAAATTAAGTTAAATTAACAGTAAATCGTGTGATTACCAAAGTTAATATATTATTGATGTAATAACGTAATTATTTTAAATTTTATATGATTTATATTACGAGTATTTTCTTTACTCTAAATTATTTTTAGAAAAATTAGAAAAATAAGTGTTATAGATAATAGAAATCATATGTTATTATTTAATTTGGTTGAATTTAACAACAAAAAAAAATTAGAAAAGAAAAGAAAACAAGAGAAATATGTAGGAGAATTTTTTTTTTTTTATATAGTATATTGATTAATATTATTTATGTTAATTAATGATATAGGACTAAAAGAACTCTATTTTAATTATTATTTTTTAAATATGTATAAGTATTTTAAAAAATTAATTTTGTTCGAACATGTTAGTTTTATGATTGAATAAATTCGACCCTCTCGATTTACGAGGTTAATTTTATAATTTAACCTAAATCAACAATCACGAGGCTAAATATTATTGTAAGTTGCACAAACTATCCACAACGTTGGAACTTTTTTTTCGTTCATACACTTCTCGGTCATGGTGTCACTTCGATATTGGTCCTAACCAAAACAATATTAATAATACATTTAAATAATGATTTTAATGTCAGCATATATTATAAAGTTTGTACCTTATATACACACGTACACGTGTCAATCAAAATCTGCATAAAGGATAACCTAGCTGTCCAATGATATCATTTACTTGCAAATCTTGCTTTAAAATTATCAATTTTGAATCGAAGATTGGCTTTATTAATTTAAACAGCTAATTTTTGCCTTATTCGTGTCCATGCACGTTTATTTATTATTTTAACAATACATAGAAAAAAAAAGTCCATTGATCTGATATAATTCAGTTTCTTATTATTCAATTTATTCAAAAACTATATGAGACTCATTTTGAGTCGTGGGTCATAAAGGGTTTATTTGATCAAGGGTCGTAGCACTTGATACTATCTGGGTGCGAAGAACCACGGGTGACTGCAATGAGCAGAAATCTCACTCATCGGCCTAAACGACGAGCAAACACTCGAACGTGAGAGCAAGGAATCACCCAAGGAATGGACGAGCTTTTTACTCTTTATTTGTTCCGATTTCCTAATTTAAGAACAATTTTAATTAATTAAGCAAATTTAAGTACAATATTTTTTATTTATTAAAGTTTAGGGTTGACTATTGGGGCTTGGGAGACAGATTTTGGTATGTGAATACTTGGTAGGTCCATCTATAATGATTAATGGAAAAAATTTACCGACTCAATTATGACCTCGAGATATATATATATATATATATATATATATATATAAAAGATAATAGCCTTACAAAACACTAAAAGAAAAATCAAACATGAAATATAACCAAACCAAATCAAGTTTTATATGCAAAAAAGTGTGAGCCTAAATTGGTTGACGTTTTTTATACGCTCTTTTACTATAGACCACAATGAATCTAGCAGTAAAACTTTGAGTAATCATGATCCATTTGACTTTAAAACGACTTAATCCGCTCCCTCACATGCAACTTGAACATTAACTTAGACTCACAAGGCCTACTACATAGACTACTAGCATGAAGAAGGATAGAAAATAACATTCACAAAGTTTAAACTCATGATCTATGTTTAAACTCATAATCTCAACCTCTATCAATACCAAATTAAATCCATACTATAACTAAAAACTTCATCGATTAATGGGCGATAAACGCCCATTTGAGTATACCTCAATGAATTAGACACAAATTCCAAAGATTAAGGGTTTGATCCTTCCATACAAAGAAAAATAAGAAAGAAATGACAGTGATATGGTATTGAAGTCATAATCTCAAGATTTGGCACCAAATTGAATGATTATAGGAACCGAAAACTTAAGCTAATAATATTCTTTAATACTATATATTTTTTGTTTTGTTTTCATATAGCAGAAGTTACTCTCAAAGGGGGGAAAAACTGCCATTCACGTGCAACCAATCAACAATTCCAAACTAAAAGAGTTCATCAGACGGTGCAAAAATATATTATCTCATTGATTTGGCTGTATTGGTTTGTGGTGTATCAATGTCCTTAATGGTGTGTCTACAGTATGTTTTCTCTCCTGGCGTGTTCTTGCCACAAATCTTAGCTTGGATTTTAAGGAAGAAGGCGGCCGCCGAATTCAATTAATCCAAATGAGATAGAATAAAAAATGGATTAGCTTGATTCAAAGAAAAAAAAAAAAAAAAAAAGATTAAACTGTGGAAAGGGTGTTTTGTCACAACCCAAGTTGTCTTTTGAACTGTGGAGCTCATGTGTGAATAGTATATCCAACATAGAACTAGTTTTCAACCAATAAATACAAGCCTAACCTTCTCTGTTTGTCAATCATACTTGCAGAATTCTCTCTATCTCTCTCTTTCTTTCTTTCTCTACCTATTTGAGATGGAGATGGGTGGGAAGAATTTAAAATGTCTGGCAACTATTGCTTTCATTTGTGCTTTTGTTTGGTCTTTTAGTTTGCAAAACTGCCAAGCTAGAGAAGGTAAGCATTGGGCACATAGAAAAACTGGAGGCTACCGCCACGGGCGCATTCATCGTGACCGTGGAGGCAGTGGCTCGTCGAGGTTGACGGGCAGTGGCCATGTTGGGAGTGAGGATGTTGTGGGAGCCTCACTAGCAAGTAAAGGTGATGCTAGTAAGGGTGGTTCAGGCAATTTTAATGTGTTGGACTTTGGAGCTAAAGGTGATGGAAGGGCAGATGACACTAAGGTGAATTTAGGCTTTACTTATTCGTTACATTACATATAAATTTTACAAGCAGCATTTATACTTCACAGAATTGAAAACTTACAGAAGTTCTTGACAATGTATGCATACCAGGCATTTCAGGCAGCTTGGGAATCAGCTTGCAGTGCAGAGAAATCAACTGTAGAGGTTCCCTCGGGGTCCGAGTTCCTCGTTGGCCCCATTTCGTTCTCCGGTCCTAATTGCAAACCAAACATAGTGTTTCAGGTCAATATCAATACACTAAAGTCAGTTTTGGAAGTTGATTTCAAAACTTTTTTTAAGTGCAACAGTAACATAATGTTTTAGAAGGATTGTAATAAACTTCATAAATCAATTTTCAAAAAGTGTTCTAAAGAAATTTCCAGAAAGCTCCTTAATGCTGCAGAGGAAATTTTTTTTGATGCACATTTTGAAGTATATTTCTTATGTTGACATGCAGTTGGATGGCAAAATCATCGCTCCTACAAGCCCTAGTGCTTGGGGTTCAGGTCTCTTACAATGGATTGAATTCACTAAACTCAAAGGGATTACAGTGAAAGGTACAGGTACTATTGATGGACAAGGCTCGGTTTGGTGGAATGACTCACCCACATATGATCCTACTGACGAAAATTTGGTAATTTTGTAAACCAAGTCAGATAAAAATCAAAAGTATTTCATATTTCAAGTCAAACAGCTTCTCAATCACAGCTTTAACCTCATGAAAACAGGACAAGGAAAGCAGCAGTGGAAAACTTCCAAGCACCAAACCAACTGTACGGCCTTGGCTTAAACTTGACTAGAGTAGAACAAATGGATCAAAAAGAGTTCTCTGTTTGTGACTCTATCATTATTGTGCAGGCACTTAGGTTCTATGGAAGTGATGGAGTGACGGTCTCTGGAATAACCATCCAAAACAGCCAACAGGCTCACCTGAAATTTGATAGTTGCACATCAGTTCAGGTTTCTTCATTAACCATTTCATCGCCAGGTGACAGCCCAAACACAGATGGAATTCACCTGCAGAATTCTCAGAATGTGATCATTTCAAACAGCAATCTAGCTTGTGGTAATTCCCAATTTTGAGTATTATCTGCCAAAAAAAAAAAAAAGGGATTGCTTTAGCATGAGAGTTTTTACTTTAAAAAGGTAATCCAGTTGGTTGAAAGTCAGAAAGTTGATCCTTATTTGCCAAACAGTAATTTTGAAGGAAGATGAAGTTCAGTTGTTTTGAAAAAGCAACTCATCCAGGAACATTTAACCGAGCATGTAATCACTAAAAACCAAACAACAGCCTTTAAACTCAACTGCCCAGTAGAACCTTATTCCCTAAAAAACTATGCTGATGAGACCACAAACTTTACTCTTGTGACAAAGGAAAGAAATTCTTCCAGCAATAGAGTTTAAATAATCAGTAGCATTATGGAACTTATATAAATACAAAATTGAACTACAGGAGATGATTGTATATCTATACAAACGGGAAGCTCAGCTGTATACATACACAATGTCAACTGTGGACCAGGCCACGGAATTAGCATCGGAGGACTAGGACGTGATCAAACAAAAGCATGTGTTTCCAATGTCACAGTCCGCGACGTCAAACTGCAGAATACAATGAATGGGGTCAGAATAAAAACATGGCAGGTATATAAAACCTTACTCCTCTATATTTTCTCCAGCATGGTAATAAATGTATGAGAGTAAAAGCAGAGGAAAAAGGCATCAACAAACCCTTCTTTATTTAAACATAGTTTTCCCAGTTTGCCAAACATAATTTCTTGCTGAAAGTAATTTTCAACAGCTAACAAAGGGACATTTGAATTTACTATTGCAGGGGGGTTCGGGTTTAGTACAGGGAATACTGTTCTCAAACATTCAAGTTTCAGACGTTAAAACTCCAATAATGATAGACCAATACTACTGCGATGGGGGTAGCTGCCATAACGGATCTTCTGCAGTAGCAATTTCAGGGGTAAACTACGTAAATATAAGAGGAACATACACTTCAACGCCAGTCCATTTAGCCTGCAGTGATAGCCTTCCATGCACAGGTGTGACATTAGACACCATTCAGCTTGAGGGGAGTGGCCACTCCAACGAACCATTCTGTTGGAAGGCATATGGTGAACTGAAAACCTCCACTGTCCCTGCCATTGACTGCTTGCAGTCTGGCAATCCAGGGAAAGCTCAGGCTCACGATTCTTGCTAAGCTCAGCAGCTAAAGATTAATTAGATTACAGAAAAGAAAAATTCACATCGTAAACTACTTAGAAATAGAAGAAAAAACTATGGTATACTGCTTAGAAATGAATTGCTATATGCTGCAAAAAGGGGTCCTAAAGATAGAGATATTCAGTCACTGATGAAGAGTTGGGAGAGAATTTTACGCGGTGTAGGCTGCTTGGATATAGTAAGATGAATTTATATACGATATTGTTTGCTACAGAAATGGCCCTTGCTCATGATTCATCATTCATGCATAGTAAGATGAATTTATACTTTTATAAACCACCTGAGTAAAAATTCCACGAATTCAAAATTCTCGCGAATTCAAAATTCCACACTTCTTCGTGAAATGATTAGCACATAAATCACCTAATTACCAGATTATCGTCAAATAAAACGAAAAATGACACGAACAACTGATTAAAACTTATATATTACATCGAACCTTTCGCCATGGCTTCTACAGATTATCACCAAGTGGATCAAATCGCTTATTGTTCGCTCTGATAACTAGTTCCGAATATTCCATAATGGCGGCCACAAATATCAAAATCAACAGCTTAAAACTAACATTACTATTACGCAATCAATATGAGCTGAAAAATAAGAAGACAAGAAACAGTATTACGAGTTGCAATATGAAATTCAAGGACTAAGTTTACGCTACGTCGTCTAGTAATAGTTTGACGGAGAAGAGCTGAAAACCTGGCTCGTGGAGGAAAAACAGCTCAGCCGGCGGAAATGGAGTGGGAAGGAAAGTCCACGGCGAAAGAGATTTGGAAGAGGAATTAACTCCGAAGATCATGGCCGGTAAACATGGCGGATACGGCCATGGATGACAGAGAAGAGGCAGAGCTTTCAAGATTTCAAGACTTTCTCATTTTGTTTATGTAATTTTTAAATTATGTATATTTATTCAATTACAAATTATAAATCTAAAATAGAATTTTAAAAAATATTTAATAACCATTTAAAATTAATTATCCTATTAAATTTAATTAGAAAAAATTACGATGGGTACTTTTTAGAAGGCAGTTATGGAAGAAATAGGGGATGTTTAAAACGGCGTCGTTTCCATGTTCCCTTCTCTCCACGTTGGAGCGTATTTTCGCTCTTCATGCAAAATTGGATGAATAAATCTGAAGCCATTAAGAAAGGAAACTACGGAACTGGGACGCTCTCTCTCTCTCGCATCCATTTCTACTCTCAGATTTCTCACGAATTCGAGCGGTAATCAATTTTCATATCCATCGCTTTTCGTTTTCCATTTCTCAATCTCGGTCTCGCATGATCTCTGGAAGATCTTTTGTTGATCTGAAGTTGTAGATTTACGGATTCATTTTTCTGGTAGATTGCGAATAGTTTTTGTAACATTAGAATGATTGTTCGTTTTTGTGGATTTGCGATTTACTTTTACGTAATTTGTGAAGATATTTCACACTTCTCGATGTTTGGATATGTTTTGTTGGATGCCGAATCGATTTCATGTTTGTCGTATTGGGAATCACAATGGATTTTGAATTATCATTGCATGGTTTAGATGTCATTAGAGGATCAGCTGCGGCAAAGTATTTTGGAGATTTTAATTTATTCGGTGGTTCGTTGCGGTTTTTTTTTTTTTCTTGATGTTGTTTTGATTCATGATAATTCCTTGGGTGTTCGTAGCTGGAGATCTATTTGTTTGATAGCCAGACAATTCTAAATGCTTGATTTCTGATTTTAAGTTATCTTGCATACCAGTGCCGTGATTGTTGCCCTTAGAGGGAAGCGGAAATGGGGTTGGCCTTTTCGAAGCTCTTTGGTAGGCTTTTTTCCAAGAAAGAGATGCGCATTTTGATGGTTGGTCTTGATGCTGCTGGTAAGACCACGATCTTGTACAAGCTGAAGCTAGGAGAAATTGTGACCACCATTCCCACCATCGGTGAGTCTTTATACTATAAATTATATGGAACTTTGGGGATTGAGAACTCAGCTGCAGAATCATCTGCCTTAATGGTTTATTGAATCCTAAGAGAACGAGAGCTATGCCAATTAACTCTTTAACGGCTGTCTTTTCGAACCAGCAGTACTAGTCTTACACAGAGGGTTCCAAATTCCCATTGCCGTCTCATCTTCGATTACAAAACTATTGCCGACACTGGTCATAATACCACAAATCCAGTGTTTTCTCTGCCTGCTAGTGACAAAATTAACGCTAAAAACTTTAGATTCAACCCACCATCTACATCTAATCTTAGACAAAAAAAAACAGGTAAATAAAAGGAAGATGACCCTGCATCAAGTAGGAAAAGTAACATATTTAGGACTGGAGATTTATATGTTAGTGTCTGTTTCAATTTCAAAAGAGAGAGAATTGTTGAACTATGACATAACTTCATGCAATTCCATATGACATAACTTTATGCAATTCCCGTCCCAAAGGTAAAATGCTATGATCCTCACCCTGCAATTGATGAACTAAAAAATTAACTTGATGTAGTTCTATGGCCTAAGTGAAATTATTTCTCAAGTCAAGAAACTTAATTAGGAGTTTAATTAGAGGTTCTTTTAGTTCAGATAACCTGGAGGCTGAAGGTTCAAACCTAAGTTCATCCACGTGGGACAAATATCTCACGAATTTTGTACCCTTAACATTCCTAATTATCAAAGGTTTTAGGGTTGGTTACTGGTCTGCAATTTTCAAGCTCATTGAGGTCAACGAATGAGATTAAATACTCTGGTTTTATATAGTTGCTGTGGATCATAGTATCTTTTGAATTCTCACTTTTGGGTTTCATGAGCATACATGGATTTTCAGGCATTGAATAAATGGTGTGGTTTGTGATACAGTTATGCCTCTGCCCTATCTAATTTTAGTCCAACCCATGTTTTCCTTCAGAGCATTATAATTGTTTTTTAATGTTCAACAATTGACATTGTAGGATTTTATTAAAATCCATCTCAGGGAAGTCGTAGATGTAAGACTCAATTCTTTTCTGCAGGATTTAATGTGGAGACTGTAGAATACAAGAACATCAGCTTTACAGTTTGGGATGTTGGTGGTCAGGACAAGGTATGCATCTCCCTCTTCCTGTATGTGTGTGAAAGAAGCGAGACTGATCCTGCTTTTCACTATATTTAAGAGCCGAACAGTTCATTTATTTTGAATTTAATATCAATAAAGAATTTCACTGTTTAGTTATTTTTTCTCCTGATACGCTCATAAAGTGGTTGTTGCCTTAGTAAGTTGCTATTTTTAGTTTCTTATTCTAATGTTATTTAAAGCAGCAAATGCCTATTTACAATATTCGAGGGTTGAAGCATTTCATTTGTTGTGTTAGATATGTGAAACTCAGTAACATAAAAATCATAATAAATTTGAATAAGCAGTTACCAATTATTGATTCTAATTTGGAATACTGCAGAATGTTGATCTTATTCTCTTTATTCATTCATATAATATATTTTTGTATTATCAAGCATAAATACTTACATTTTCTAGGATGAGAATTGTGCATGAACATAACTGGATAGTCGCTGTGGCATTTTAAGTTTTTTTCTTATGTTTTATATGTTCATACGTTCTTTAAGTTAAAAAATTATGAAGAAATTGTTTTGAACTACTACGTTTAAATGAAGTTTGACTGATGTGGTTTCGTTTGGAAGATCCGTCCACTTTGGAGGCATTACTTCCAGAATACACAGGGCCTTATTTTTGTTGTGGATAGCAATGATAGGGACCGTGCTGTAGAGGCAAGAGATGAGTTGCACAGAATGTTGAATGAGGTATGTTTGTAGCTATTTTTATCTTTTCACCCTGCATCCTTGCTGCTGTATTTTATTTTCTTCTAGTATTCAATTGGTACATTTTGTGGTTTCACATAAAATGCTGAATCTGGTTGCATTCATGTAAGACCACAACTTAAAGGTTAATGTATATGTTAACTAAAATTAGACAATAAGATTAATACCGTTCTGTTTTCCTGAACCATTTAGCATTTTCTTCCATTATGATTGTAGCCTGATGGTGGTATTTTACATTTAATGGTTGCAGGATGAGCTTAGAAATGCTGTGTTGCTTGTATTTGCTAACAAGCAAGATCTTCCTAATGCCATGAATGCTGCAGAAATAACTGACAAACTCGGTCTTCACTCCCTTCGCCAGCGCCACTGGTAAATAACTTGCTTTTGCTCACCATATAATGTCCTTATCGACTTGTCACCTAGAACATTAAGTGGAAGCAATTGTTGAATCGTGATCTAATTATATACTCATTCATTTGTCAATTAATTGGACTGCTTAATATACTCCCGCATTAGTGAGTTTGAACCACACAGAAGAAAGTTGAAAAAGAATATTTTCAAGTTTTTTTTTTTTTTTTTTTTTTTTTTTTTTTTTTTAAGTTGCTAGTGAGATGATAATGTTAAAGCAACTTATTTTACACGTTGTCCATTCCAGGTACATCCAGAGCACCTGCGCGACATCTGGAGAGGGCCTGTACGAAGGTTTGGACTGGCTTTCCAACAACATCGTCAGCAAGGTAAATGCACCTTCCCATTTGATCCCAATCTTAACTTAATAGGAAATCCTTTTTGCTGGTGAGTTCTGAATTTCTGTGCTTTGTTTCAAAATTTCTTCACTTTTCATGGACTAGTTAATAGAAATCTTGATTCAGTTTTGTAATCTGACGCCTAATTCATACATATAGCTTCAAATATTTGTCAATTACCTCGAAAATTAACAAAACACGTCCTTTTTTACTACTGACTTCTAAATTTCTGTGCATGGTTCCAAAATTTTTTTCCATCCTATAACTTTAAACTCGTTCTATTCTAGTATGCCCTGTTTCATTACCCAGTTTTCTGCTTCTAAGAACTATAGTATGTTTACACTATTTTTACAATCAAAATTCTAAAAACAAAACCAGATCTTTTAAAAACAGTCTCAAAATTTTCGTTCTAATTCCAAAAAAAATTGCATATAAACTATTTTAGTCGTTCATCTTTAGTTTTTCATTGGTTATTTAAATAGAGTTCTTGATCCGATTTCATAACTTCCTGCATGTAGCTTTAAATACTTGTCTACATAGATTGATTTTCTTTTTCTTGTCAGAATACTTAGATTAATGAAAATTTAGGTATTAAAACAGAATAACTTGAAAGTTTGTATTAACAAAAGTAAGATTTAAACTTTGTTATTGAGTCATTTGCTCTCCCTTTCTCCTCAGGCTTGAGAAGCGGTTAATGATTTGGTTGCTCAGGACTATGTTCAGAGTCCATTCTGGAAAGGATAGTTTTGTTTCTCTGTTTTCAGTGGTTATTGTTATAAATAGGGAAGGAAGGTTCCGCCATACACATGCTTACTCGGTATACTTTGGGCCACACTCTTGGCTTTTAAAGCTTCATTCTTTTATTACTTTTCATTTAATTCCAATTTCAATATTTTTGTCTGATCAATGTTCTTGTGGCACAACAAGGTATATTTTTGGCATCTTGAGCATATACTTATACCATGACAACCTTGTTGTTCCACCGGACGTGGGACATATCTCACAAATGGGAGATGATTGATTTTGTTAGCTTAAGTTTTTTAATTTTCTTTACGGCAATTTCATTAGTTTTGAAAACTGTTAGTTTAAATTGAAATTTTACAGGAAAAAATAATAAAGAAAAAAACAAGTTTTTAATTTTGACATTTTAAATAATGCGTTTTGGTCTCTATAATGCATTTTTTGAAAATTAATTTTGTTTAAAAATTTTTAACTAAGAGTTGAAATTAATTTTTTTGAAATTTATTGGGGGTGGAACTTATTAATCGAGTAACAATTTTGGTTTAAACTTCACTTTGTATTGATGTAGTTCATATAACATTTATACATTAAAATTATTAACATTTTTTCGTGAAAATTATTAATAAGATTCAATCTTACATAGGTAGATTAATATAATTATTGACCCTTATGTTTAAAGGCTATAAAATCTAAATGGTTAAGTACTAAAATTTGGCATTTAATTTTGATGAATTATTAAACAACTAGGATTAAATTGTTATAAATTTGAAATCATACCAATTAAATAATTACATACTATATTGACAAAATTATTATAAAATTGAAAGTATAAAAATTTATAGATTTACAAAATTGGTAGTTCAAATATTCTCTTTCTAATTAGAGTGCTCATATGATCCTTCTAGAATTTAGTTAGGTTGGATTTTTTGAAAAATTCAATTTGATTCGGGTTAAACATTGTTTTGTCAGGAGTTGTAAATCTTTTTTTGGTTAATTTCAAATTGATGTTAAAGATTTTTTCAAAAATTAATTTGAAAAAAAAATTTAGTTTTTGGTACCATTAAGTTCATTCCCGTTGCACAATTAGGATATGCCACTTGTCACAATCTCATAATTCAACGTTCAGTCGTACGGCTGGATGAACAAAGTTGGCTTAGAAGATAGGTTTAGTTGTAGTCGAGTGTTTTTGTTCATTCAGCAAAAATATATATATTAAAAAAAAAAAAAAAAGATTTACGTACGATCTCGTGACCCCTTTCCCTTCCGATCTGTCTCCTGAAGGCCCCAAATCGAGAGGTAAACTCTACTTCGCCTCCATTTTTCTTCAACTCTCAAATTCCATTCTGCTGGACTTCTCTTCCAGATCTCAACTGATCTTTAACACACGGATTCATATTATTCGTTTTCTGGTACATCGCGAAATCTTTTTAATCTTCCTAGTTGTTTGAATATATATATATATTGATTTTCATATCTGCTACAATGGAAATTACCCTCGATCGGTTTGGATCTTCTCATTGCTGATTTGAATATCATCAGAGAGGACAAAGTGTTAAGGGAAAATGAATTTTTATGATGATTATTTGTGGTTCTGCTATTTGCGTGTTCTTTTAGGTCGCAATCTTCTATTTATGATTTATGATAATCGTGTTAGGAGTTTGTCTTGGAAGATCTGTTAAATCCATGTCAAGACAAGTTGAAAATTAACTTTTAATGTTCTATTTTCTAATTTTGAATGCTATTGCTCGCGAGTTCAGTGATTGTTGCCCATAGAGGGAAGCAGAAATGGGGCTGACCTTCACGAAGCTCTTCAGCAGCCTCTTTTCTAAGAAAGAGATGCGCATTTTGATGGTGGGTCTTGATGCTGCTGGTAAAACCACGATCTTATACAAGTTAAAGCTCGGAGAAATTGTTACCACCATCCCCACTATCGGTGAGTCTATTCATAAAGTGCAGATTTAGTTGCAACCTTTTTGAATTTCTCTCTGAGTCCTTGATATTGTTGTTGAAAATTTTAAATCGAGAGAGGTTTTAAGTGGAAAAATTAGATAAAACGGATTGCATCAATGTTTAACAAATTCATTTGAAGAATAGAGTCCATTCTTGATGTTTGTTATTGATGTTTGTTATTTTTCTAGGAGCTATTGATGTTTGTTATTTTTTCTGAGGTAACCCCACCACTGCTTCATCCTTTTGTTGATTGCCAGCGGAGTAATATTTTAATCCGAGCTTGGAAGTCCTTCTGACCTTTTCGATCCGTCCTCAGGGGAGCTATGATATTATTCTTTCTTTTGCTGCTAATCTCCTCCATGATCTCTAAAGATGAACAACTTGTTTGGAATTTTCTTTATCCCCAAACATTCATCTCCTTTTCCATTTTTCTTGAAAGCTTAGGTATTTCCAAGATTGAGCTGTACTTCGAGAATGTGTCTTGTGTATCCAACCAATAACGCAAGGCGATAACCTTGATCCGCATCGTCTTTACCTATAAAGCCAGTTGAAAAGAACTTCTGTTCAATTCCACATTTAACATTTAATCAGTTCCCTCTCCTCTCTTCGTAGTTTAAGCGACGATTTTCTTCAAAGCGTTGCAATTGTTGCATAAGGATTCTCATCAAACCATTTCATAAATTTCATCAATATACACACGTTAAGTGACTCTTTTCTTCAGGATTTAATGTGGAGACTGTAGAGTACAAGAACATCAGCTTTACCGTTTGGGATGTTGGTGGTCAGGACAAGGTATGATTACCACTCTGTCTTCCCCCTTCCCTTCTACGTTTGAGGCTTAAAGGAAATTAGTTAATTTATGTTGAAATATGCACATGGTTCATTTAATTGCTACGTCGAAAGTTTCTTGTTTTTTTTATTTTTTATTTTTTGGGTAATCTGGAGTTCGTGAGTATCATAAACTAAAACAAAATTTTAGCATTAGAATCGTTGAAATTCATAAAAATAATTTATATTTTTAAAACACATTATAATAATGGACGCCTTGCCATGTCTCTGTCTTAGAATCTTAGAAAATAATGTGTCACCATGCCTATGTTGTGCCTTTGTCTCTGTATCTATGTTTGTGCTTAGCATAAATCAGATTTTTTTTGAAAAAAAATTATCAGTTAAAAAAAACGGTCAAGTGACTCAAATTTCAAAATTTAAAGGGCTTATACGTTTTAGTTATTAAATTTAGATGCAGAAAATATTTCTTGGTTGAATTTTGAGAAGAGATTCCGCCACAATATTATTTGTAATTTATTTTATTCTTGTATATCTCATTCTTATGAACAGAAGAGGAGGATTGGCATTCATGTAAACATCCTAGGGTTTGCACTCTCTGTTGAGTTAAATAATGAGGCATTTTTTAATTTGATCAATCAACAGAGAGTGCAAACTTCATTTTTTTTTCAACTTTTTATCCTTTTATTACATGAGTCTTGTAAAAAGTGACGGTAAAATATGTTTTCCTCCCTCTACTAAATGGATACACAGTATGATTAATGTTCTGATTCTATATATTAGACGTTGCAGGATATAAAGACTTATGCATCAAGATAAATGAATGCGAGCTTTAAGTAATCAGGCGTCTGTTTAGGCCTTTTATGTTCGTGAGAAAAAAAAAAAGTTTTCCAGAATTGTTGTGATTCTTAAATTTTGACTGTGATTTCTTTTTTTCTTTTTTTTTTTTGAAAGATCCGTCCACTTTGGAGGCACTATTTCCAGAATACACAAGGCCTTATTTTTGTTGTGGATAGCAATGATAGGGACCGAGCTGTTGAGGCAAGAGATGAGTTGCACAGGATGTTGAATGAGGCACGTTAATACCTGTTTATATCTTTCCACTCTACATGTTATTATTGCATTATCTAATTTCTATTTATGATTCACTCGAACTTTGATATTCTTTTGCTGTTTGCACTTTGTTCTTACTATATCCTTTTTCGTCAGTACATTGGTTCTAGTTTATAGTTTTTGTAACTTTCCCTCACGGGGTAGTGAATAGCGTAGCAGGCTTAGCTCATATGAATATGTTTAATATAGTTTCTTGATAAGATCTTCAATATAGTTTCAAGCTTCCAAACAAAATAGTTTTGTGCATGGGTATCATAAATGTATCAAAATTCAACACAGTTTGAGAGTGCGGCGGGGCAAGGTTGGGGTTGGACTTGTCGTGGCAGTGATTTCTGCAGCTACTGCGGCAGTGGGATTAGTGGTTGGAGTAGCAGCACTGGACTGGCCAAGGGTAGCGGAGGTTTCACTTGCAACCAGTGGATACTCTGTTGCTAAGTTAGGGTGAGAAAGGAAAGACTGGCTGGCACCGATATTTTGGAGGCTCAATGATCTTGGAGTGGGAATTTTTTTTTTATATATGCATTGAGATACAATCTAAGAGAGCCAGGATAAGTCTGTGTAAGCAGAAGCAATGAATAGACAGGAGAGACGGTGGGCCAGTATATGAAGCTTAATATGTCTACAATGAAAGGCAGTGCAGAGTTACCATTAATTATGAACTACAATGTAAAGATTAATGTATATGTTGCCTAAAATTAGACGTTAAAATTAACATCATTCCGTTTTCTAGTATCATTAGCATTTTCAGCCATTTATGAGTATAGCCTGATGGAAGTATTATACATTCTAATGGTTGCAGGATGAGCTTAGAGATGCTGTTTTGCTTGTATTCGCTAACAAGCAAGATCTTCCTAATGCCATGAATGCTGCAGAAATAACAGACAAGCTTGGTCTTCACTCTCTTCGTCAACGCCACTGGTAAATTACTTGCTTTACTCTCCTGTGGCACATCTTCATTGATCAGATCTGGTGAACAGCATTTCTTTTGTTAACACCTGTAACATTAAGCGAAAGCGTTTTTGAATGATGGTCTAAATTGAAGTTTATTGATACATTTTCCCTAGTCAATTACACAACTATTTATTATCCTGAAGTTGGAAAGAAATGGTAAAAATGTTGCTCCAACTCTTTCCAGATACTGAAGAAAGTTGAGATATGTCTTTTTGTTTGATCAGAGTTGCTTGCGCTGCGATTAGTGTACTCATTCTACACTGTGTTATGTTCCAGGTACATTCAGAGCACATGTGCGACATCGGGAGAGGGCCTGTACGAAGGTCTCGACTGGCTTTCCAACAACATTGCTAGCAAGGTAACCACTTCTTGAATTAAATCCAAAAGTATTTTTTTTTTGCGGGTTCTGAGTTTCTTTGCATTAGCTTATACTTCCTTCACCTATTTTTCTTTTCATTCTAATCAAACGTAACAAACACAAAGGATTTCTGGGGTGTGCATGTATATTTGGTTTGTTTTCCTTCTTTTAACTTGTGAAACCCCTGTACTCTTCAGGCTTGAAGCGGTAAATGATTTTGATGGTTGTTCAGGCATTTGTTCAGAGTTTTTGTTATTCTGGGACGGATAGTTTCATTTGATTTCAGTGATTATCTTAGTTGGGAAACATTTGGCTATACCTTAAAATGTACTCTTAAGTTGTTAATGGCTGATTTAAGCGGATAGACTCCTTAGCTCCTTAGCTTCTTAGCTCCTAGAAGTCCATTATTGTACTGTTTTCCAGTTAATATCAACTCCTATTTTTATCCGTTCAATTTGATTATGAACAATGTTTGTTGTGCCACATGAAACATTATTTGGTTGTCTGGAAAGATCAAATTCCCCTTCATATAGAAAGGATTCCCATCCCCTCTTGTGAACCTGAAACGTTTAGATCACTCAATAACCCATGTGGTAGAGGGAAAGACTCCATGAACTGGTGGAGATCTGTTTTTAAGCCTTGTACTTCAAACAATATCTATGCACCTAACCTAAGGAAAAGCCTTTGATTTGGCATAGAGACGCATAAGGGTAGTCTTTGAAGTATATGAAGGATTAGTTAAGGAGAAATTTGGTAAGGGATGTTCTTACCATGAAAGCATTACCCAGAGGTTATATAACATGACAGCTATTCCTTTAGTCTTACTCCTTTACTTTATTTCAAGCAATTAAAATACTGTAGTGATTACTTTTTGTGGGTTTTGCTGTCAGATTTCGTGTTCTCTTTTAGTTATAGGATGGTTTTAATTTTGTGTTTGCTTTTATCTTAAGAAATATGCATTAGTAATGCTCATGCAATGGAAGATGGGTGATGACTTCCTCTTGAGAAGTGATTGAAACTGAAAAAAATGTTGCTTGAAGACAATAGGTTGGCAAGTTTAGACATTTTCGTTCAGACCAAACAGATCTCTCTCTCTCTTTTTTTTTTTTTTGGTAAGTTCAACAAGTTGGGGTTGAAGATTCGAGTCTTTTGATTGAGAATACATATCTGAGTTGACGTGCCAATCAAAACCATTGAATTTAGTACTAAGTTTAGAAGTTAGAATTTTATCTTTATGATTCCATAAATCCTCATAAATAGTCTAGATTTTTTTTTATAAGCTCTTACTCGGTAGGAAGTATTCATGAGTGTTTTTTCATACCACATAGATTTAGTTTTAACCTTGGATCTATTTAGGAATTAAATTTGAACTTTCTCCAAACTATAAAATTTATAATTTAACCATCATAGAAAATAATATTTTGTTTTAAACCTTCGTTGAGCTTTGAGTTCTATCAAACTCTTTGTATTCATCCTTTATTATTTTTCATAGTCTTTTGATTATGATCTTGTACCTGTTTCGGTTAATTGAGTCTTTTTTGTAACCCTTTAGCATGACTTAGATAACTCGTCTCTCCTTAGCATGACTCTCTCAATCTATATACTCTGTTTCTTCTTAAAAAGAACTTCACAATGTTCAGATGGTAAACCATGTTGATCGAGAGAACGAATGAAGAGGTTAGAGTAGTCAAAAGAGAAATTATTTTTTGCGCTAGACAACCAATAACCAGATGCCACGCTGTCGTAAGCGTTTTAAAAAAACCCATTCGTTCCTTAGAATGGAACGTAGGGTGGTATAAATATGGTAGTGTGATGGCAAAAAGGTAATGGATTAGGAATGTTTTGTTAGAAGGGTAGGAATTTGGGAGCCATGTGAATGGTGTTGTAATCACAACTACTTGTTCTCTTAAAACTTGTAAAGCAATTAATTATAAGCCCCAAAAAGGGTAAAACAAGAGCATGCTTAACACATAATATGGGATTGTCTACTAAATTTTGTTCATATTTGAAGATGCCTTAATCACTTGTTAACCACATGATTTATGTGGTTGGGATTTTTTCCCCCTTTTTTTCTTTTTCTTTTTCTACCAATAAAACCCATAAATTATTTTAAATTAATTTTAAAAAAAAATTAAAAAAGGAAAAAGGAAAAAGGGAGAACAAAATTGGTGGCCACTAATCTTCAATTAGCTTAGCCCTCAAAGCATTGGGCTTCCCTTCCAACTTTCATTACTTGGAACAACATTACAATTTTGTTACTATTTCAAGGAAGGATTACACTCTTTTAAGTTGTTGCCTTCTAATCAATTCTTTATGGTAAACCCATGTGATGGATAAAATTTCTAAAAAGTTTTAAATAGAAAATCACTGTTCTCCGACTCTACACTTTGGTTTGTGTACTTTTGAAACGCTAGTTTAGTTTACGTTTTCAAAACTCAATTTGAATTGACCTAATATATATATATTTTTTAATCATCAAATTTGAAAAATAAATACTTTTTAGTGTTTAAAAAAGTGTTTTTTTTAGCTTCTATAAAAGTACTCTTTCCACGTAGGTATCCTTCAAGTAATCAAAAATTATGTAATATAATTATTTATTAAAAAAAAAAGCATTTAAAATTAATCTTTTGATAAATGAGTGGCTAATAGTTGTTTGGATTTAAATAAGTTAGGAAATTGTCTTTTAATTTAGATTCTTTAGTATTTTAGACTAAACCCAACATCATGCCTTTCATCTTCTTGCATTTGGACTTTTCATTTCATTTCCTTTCATTTCCTCTCACCCCAAAATGTGTGGATCTCACTTACCCCATCAAACCTAATTCTATTTTTCTCCATTTCATTTTCTTTCCTTTCCAAATATTTTCTTTTCTCCATATTTGACCCGATGATTTACTCGAGGAGATGCAAATATAGCTTTACATGACTTAGCACTAAGAACGATCTTCAATTATATCGTTATTTGTACGAGGTCTTTCAAATGGGTCATGTCGTTTTTACTTAACTCATTTTCAGTTTACTCGACAATAACATACTGTTGCAGAGATAAAGAGTGGCACGTTATTTGTGAATCTTGAAAATAATTTGATGTACGATTGAAAACGAAAGAAACCCTAATGCGCTTTTTACTTTCGAGTTCTCCCCGTTCTCCCCGCTCTTCCCCTTAGTTATTGTGTTGTCAATTTCACTCACAATTAGTACTAGACATCATTGTACAGTAAACAGTCTCGTGTTAAAATTTCTTGAAAACTCATTAGAAATAAAGAAAGGAATTTTCTTTTTCTCTTTTATTGTCTTGTTGTCTAAAATGGAGAATTCAAAGTTTGAAATGTTTTTGTCCAATTATTTTTACTGTTTTTAGTAAAATTCTGTTTACTAAAAAGATGTGATTTTTATTGGAGTACTTATTCAAGAGAGGGTAAATAATTATTGTACAATTTCATTTATGGTGAAAACATTTTCAATTCAATAATTACCGAGTGAATCATGCATTAAAAAATGGTCAAATTAATAGTATAAAACAAATTTGAACAGTTAAAAACTAAAATTTTACTCATAATAGTTTAAATAAAAAAAATTATACAAAATAGGTAAAAGGCGGAGATAAAAATTAACAACTCAAGCCTACTGCTAGTAGATATTGTCCATTTTGGCTTGTTACATATCGTCATCAACCTTACTGTTTTAAAACATGTCTACTAAGAAAAGATTTTCATACGTTTATGAGACATGAGAAATGATTCATTTTTCTCTCCAACTGATGTGAGATCTCATAAGACATAAACACACGAGAGTTTGAGATTTCTTTTTGTAACTCTCACAACTTCACCGTAAAACAAATAAAAAAAACGTAGCTATAAATGATGGATCCCGAGCATCGCGTATTAATTCAAAAAATAAAAATAAAAAATAAAAAATATATATATATAGAGTGAAAAAAATTTACTGTGCTGTCAATATCATGATATTTCCAACACATCAACATCTTAAAAGGCTTTTCCAAAAGAAGTGTCAATTCTAATCTTATCTAAATTGAATTATTAAATCTCACTTTTACCCTAAATTATTCTATATTTAGAGTAAAGCCTGCATTCTGCCCTTTTCTTTTTTAAATTCAAATTAATGAGAATAAAAATTATATTCTTTATTTTAAATTATTAATATTTCAATATAAATTAATAAAAATACTTACTTATCTCAAAATAAATATAAATAATTGTATTATTGTTATTCATACCTATTATAAATTTTAAAAAAATTCAAAATTTAATATAGTAAAAATATAAATATTTTAATCTAAATAAATTAATATTTTTAAAATTTTCATGCTCAATAATATGATAAAAATAAGATAAATAGCCGAAAGCCACGTTATTTTGAGTTATGAAATTTATTTGTTTTTTCCCTTTAAAATTAAAATAATGTAATAAAGAGAAAGGAAAATGCGTACAAGAATTCATTTATTATTAAAATTCCTACGCCTATTTCCCACGAATATCAACGCACGTGCATTTTTAAACCCTAATTTCTCCCTTTCCCACACGCGTGATTTTTTTTACTCACGTGCAAATCTTTACCAAAAAAAAAAAAATCAGTAAAAATATCTATATTAATAAAATAAATAATTTTTAAAAAACAACCTACACGTACCCATTAAAGCTTCAATTTCTTTTTTTCCATGCAGAAATAAAAGAAATAGTTCATAGTTTTAAGATTAAAATTGAAATAAAATAAATATTAGAATATGTCAATTACGGCTGAGCCAGGATTTATATTAAAATTCAATAAATACAGGATTTATTGGACACAACAAAGGTTTAATAAATCTATTAATTTTTTAAAAATTAAAATATTTGAGCACCCATTAATCATAAAATCAAAAGTTTAGGGCATATTAAATATACTTTTTAAAAATGTTTTTTTTATTTAAAAATGTGAGTTAATAAAAAAGTTTATGGTATTAAAAATAATTAAGTTATATGACATCATTATTATAAATATAAGAGAGAAATGAAAATATTAGATAATATAAACTTAAAAATGTTAATAATATCCATAATGTTATATGGATTGTCTATAAAACCCTAGCGATCTCCATTATATTCTTAGCTCTTCATCTCATTCTTTCTCTCTCGTCCATATTTCTCTCTCTAATTGAGGAGATAGAAGAAGAAGAAGAAGAATGGATACGCAGGCATGCAACTCAGTCCAAGATGTGGAGGTTCGAAAGGGGCCATGGACTATGGAAGAGGATTTGACTCTCATCAACTACATAGCCAATCATGGCGAAGGTGTTTGGAACTCTCTCGCTAAATCTGCGGGTAATAATCCTACTTTTTCTCTCTCTCGAGAAACCTTAATTTTCTCTTATCGAAACGCTTTATCGAAACGCAACGTTGTTTTAGGTCTGAAACGTACTGGAAAGAGCTGTCGACTTCGGTGGTTGAACTACCTCCGTCCTGACGTCCGACGAGGCAATATAACCCCCGAAGAACAACTTCTCATCATGGAATTGCATGCAAAATGGGGAAACAAGTAAGTTTTTTTTAATATCTCACCAGACGACGATATTAAAATTCAACACACACACATATATATTAACTCGACCCGACGTAAAGAAAAGAAACGTTACCATGTTGAGATATCGAAACAAGACAACGTTTTCTTTCCTCCGATCCTCGACCCGTGGCCGGGATTGGATGAAGATTTTGGAACCTCCTTTTAAAGGTTTCGTAGGAGGAAGAGAAGGGTTTGGCATGAAGAATTCTTTGAGGCTTTCATGGCCACGAAAAAGATTTTACAACACGCTTAGATTGATGGCCACCAAAATTCTTATTTTCCTCGAGATATATATATATATATATATATATATATATATATATATATTCTGCACGTTTTGATTGAATTTTATTTTTTATTTAAATTTTCCATCATCAGAAAATTCAAACAGAAAAAAGAGAGACGATTTTGCATGGGATTTATAATAATTTTGATTTAATTTTTTTTTTCTTCTCTTTTATAAAATAAAATTTTATTTTTCATGGTATAAATTTACACACTCATTTCATATTTTTGTCAAAAAAATATTTTATTTTCTTCTATTATATTTATTATTTTCCTTAATTTTTCCCGTGTTATCGTTAATATATATATATATATATATATACATATAACTAGTTTCTTTTTTTTTAATAAAAAATGAGTAAGCTTTTAGTTTTTAAATCTTACTCATTTAAAAATAAAAGCAAGCATATTAATGTTAAAATTTAATTTAAAAAAAAATATAATTTGTGGGTTTACGGTTGAATAATATGAATAATATGCATATATAATATACACATGCATGAAAATAGTAAAATAAAATAATAGAGAAATATTTTGAAAAAGAAGGAAATTAAATTAAATTAAATTAAATTATATAAAAATATTTGAAGAAAAAAAAATATATAATTACAGCTGGTGGGAATATAAGAAAAGCAAAAATATGAAGGAGAGAGAAAAGAGAAGACATTTTGTAATAAAACCTTTCCTTTTTTAGCTAAACCCACAGCACTTAACCCACATGGATATTCCTTTTTTTCATCAGCAAAAACAAATTTAAATTAAAAGACATAATAATTTTAACCGCCCCCATTTTCTTTGTCTTTATATCACCCAAATAAATCCCTTTTTACAAAATAAATAAATAAAATATATATATATATATATATATATATATATATATATATATATATATATATATATATATATATATATATATATATATATATTTTGGCTCTACCTTTTATATGGCTAAAATAATAATAGAGAAAAAAAAAATGTAAGAAAATATTTTATACACGCGAATGACAAAATAATACAGAAAGATCGAAATGTTAGAGATTAGAAGTATTATTTACTCGAGAAAAAAATATTTTTTAAAAAGAAAATTGAAAAATTTGGTTATTGATTTATGAAGAACTCTACCTGTGATGCAGCATTGTGTTGTAAGCTACAAATCCTTTCAAAATATTGGGATGTTAAGAATCCTTTAAATACAAGAAGTTGTATGTGGAGGAGCTTAGTTTTCAGCCATAGAACATGACCAATCAAATTTAACCCACAAAAATTAAGCACACGAAAATAAATATAAATTTAAATTAAATAACTACCTTAAATTTTCATGGCTCAAAATGCATTTCGTTTCATCTCAATTCAAACATGTGGTCTAAATATTTAATTTTAAACATATTTTGATTTCCATCTATTCTTGTCTCTTGGTTGTTTGTGATTATTCTTGTTGTCCTATGTTGTCATTTTCCTGATTAGTTCCATCCTTTTATCATATTCGAGTTTTTTAGGTCAAATCTATCAAATCTCGAGATTAATCAGGGTTTAGAGTCCTCTCGAAGTTAATTAATCAGGGTCTAGAGTCCTCTCGAGGTTAATTAATCAGGGTCTAGAGTCCTGTCGAGTTTAATCAGGGTCTAGAGTCCTCTTGAGGTTAACTAATCAGGGTTTAGAGTTCTCTCGAGATTAATCAGGGTTTAGAGTCTTCTCGAAGTTAATCAATCAGGGTTTAGAGTCCTCTCGAGGTTAATCAATCAGGGTTTAGAGTCCTCTCAAGGTTAATCAATCAAGGTTTATAGTCCTCTCGAGGTTAATCAATTAGGGTTTAGAGTCCTCGAGGCTAATTAATCAGGGTTTAGAGTTCTCTCGAGTTTAATCAAGGTTTAGAGTCTTCTAGAGGTTAATCAGGGTTTAGAGTTCTCTCGAGTTTAATTAGGGTTTAGAGTCCTCTCAAAATTAATCAGGGGTTTAGATATGCACTCGCTTATGACGACGTTCTCTTTGAATATACGCAGGTGGTCGAAAATAGCAAAACATCTTCCCGGGAGGACCGATAACGAAATAAAGAATTACTGGAGGACGAGAATCCAAAAGCACATAAAGCAAGCCCATGGGTTCCCCACTCTACAAAACACCACAAATATTGGATTATCTCATGAGATAATGAATGAACAAGCTGCAAGTTCAAGTAGCTGCCAAGTTTCATACACAATGGATCCAATGGAAACCTATTCTCCTCCGACATACTCCCAAAACATGGATGCCTTCTCAATGCCTTTGCCGCCAACTGATAATGTCAACGACAATTATTGGAGCATGGAGGATCTCTGGTCTATGCAGCTTCTCAATGCTGAATAGATCAAATTAAATAATTTGATGATATTTGAATTTAAAATATTTATTTATTTTGATTCAATATCATTAGGGTTTTCTATATATAGTTTGGAAAAAAACATGTGTATTTTTCCACATATATAATTAGACTAAGGCATATATATATGGCTTTGTGTTTAAAAATTTGCATACTCTCTTTATATATATATATATATATAAGTATTATTTTATCCTTGATGTATATTTCATGGTTTATATTAATGTTTATTTAATTATTTTATCGTTTTTAGGTTAAATTATAATTTTAATTCCTCGACTTTTAAGTTTATGTCTAAACGATTCCTGAAGCTTGCTTAAACTTTCAGATTTGTGTCTAATGTATCTAATAGATCTCTAATATGTTCAAAACTTCTGAAAATTAATTGCCAATTAGATATAAAATTAAATTTTATTATAAATAGGACTATAAACTTGCCCGATGATGTCATCATGGCCTCTCTTTCAGTAGTATTAGGGATGTTTAATGTCACAATTGCACTCTTGCAGCAACGGGACAATGATTGTACGACACTTGTTCTAACTTAGCAAATAAGTCAACTGTGTGAAATTCGAATTTCGTGGGCAATATTGGCATGTGCTTGAGGCTCGAGTCACTTTTGAGAGAAATGTTTTAAAAAACGTGAGCGAGAAAATAGGTTGAAAATAATTTTAAAGAAAGTAATATTATAGGCTAAAAATTAGCAGCAACAATAATAACTTTGATAGCATATAACTCTAGAGGAGTTGATAATTAGTCACATACTCTTGAGACATTTTAGTTCTGGCGGGTGTAGACATGATTTTGGTAACAGGTCATACACCTGCGTATTGATACAATAACAATAGTAAAAGTCTATCTAGCATGAAAGCAAGTAAAAGGGGTTTGGAACGGAAAGGCGCCATGGACAACATGTCCTGGACAAGCACGACTGGGACGTCCGACATGTGACTACAAGCAACACGCCTTGGCGATAGGCATAACCGTAACACTTAACACCACTCAACAAGATCGAATAGTTATCGAGATATCTCGCTCTCTCTCAACGACCGAGACGACCTTAACGAAAATATACTAATTAATTTATTACCAAATAATTATTAAAATAACTTTGAAAACAATTGCTTTTCTTTTTTTCTTTTCCATTAAATGAAGCTTATAATTGTTAACCAAACTAAAGCCACAAGAAATTGACACGTAGCCATACACATAATTATTGTCAAGCAAATGAAGCCTTTTTCCTCTTCATCTTTTGCATAAATACATAACCCATTCTCGTGCATGGCCATGCAGCCTTCAGAGACCGACGTGAACCTAACTCTTGCATTGCTCACTTAAGCAAATTATAAGTCTTTCACATGTCATTCCCCACATTCATATCCACTCCTTTTAACATGTTATCACATGTCGAGTACGATCGTAAACACGCTCATCCTTCTTTCATTCAATATCTTCCTTTAATAAAACGCTCACCCATCGGTGTCATAATAGTTGTAGTTTGGTCGTTCACCATTTCTGTTTTACGAAAATAAGGTCGGTAGTGCTGAGATTTTGCACGATGAATTGTTAATTTTGTTGCGTTTTGTTTTCATTTAATCGGGTTTTTGCGATTGGAGCTATCGTTTCGTCGTTATTATAAAGTTTTAATTATAAAAAGATAAAGTTGAAACGTACCAATTTTTTTTTAGGTTAAAATGTTTAGGTAAGGAGTATAGAAAAGTTTGTAATATATATTCGGAAAAATTTAACATGACTATCACACTATAATTATCGACATGATCGTTTTCTAACTTCTTTCCCTCGGAATTTGAACCTTTGAAACTTTTTCATCGCATTTAGTTCGTTTAGAGTTAGGCTCGGAAAAATACGCATTTCTATAAGTAGCTTTAGAAAAATTAATAATAAAAATATTAATGAATACTTTATTTATTTATTAAGGAAATATGATAAATACATTTTAAATTATTAATTTTTCTTAAACATACTTATAATACTAATCGATAGGGTTCTATTTAGGTTTCTTCTCAAAGTTTTTAAAACAAGTCTGACAGGGAAAGGTTTCCACACCCTTCTAAACAATGTTTCATTCCCCGTTCTAACCGATGTGAGATCTCACAGACGAATTCTTACCCAGAAATACGTACAGGGTCGATTACGAAATTAATTTGAATTTAAAGCCCACTACTAATCGATATGGTTCTATTTGGGCTTCTTCTCAAAGTTTTTAAAACGAGTCTGCTAGGGAGAGATTTTCACACCCTTCTAAAGAATGTTTCGTTCTCCGTTCCAACCGATGTGGGATCTCACGAACGAATTCTTTCACAATAGTTAAATCGTTCTTAAACCCAGAAGTTTAAACTTACGGGTCGATTACGAAATTAATTTGTGTTACAAAATGTCCAAATAAACATGAAATTGCAAGAATTTGAACCCGAACGATTTCTCACTATGATATCATGCTGAATCATCACCGCCCGACCTAAAACTTAAAGAACGAGAAAATATATAGATAGATATATATATAAAAGATGAGAAAACATTAGGTAGAAAAAGTTAGGCAGAAAGGATAATAATGGGAGGTTGCAATATAGAGAGAGTACCAAACTCATCAACTTTAGCATCCAACTTGTTATTCAAAGAAACCCTAAATGAGAAGTTTGTTGTTTCATGCATTATCTTTCATAAGAAAGTTATTGAAAACAAATGGACATATTTTGTTATGAGCCACTCATTTTCCTTTTTTATCACATGTTCTTTGTGCTTAAAATCAAATATTTAATTCAATTGCCATCCCATGTGAGATTTGAATAACTCTCCCATGTGACATTTAAAATAACCATATAAGCTTACCTTCTCCGATTCTTTTTCTTCGAGACCGTTAGAAACGTACGAAGCAAGAGATACAACTTTCGAGAGATTTGACGCATCGAGCTTCTGGTTCGAGATTGATTGCGTTAACGTTACAAAAATAAGTTATATCCGAGTAAAGGACGGGTGCGTGAATGAGCTGAGACCGCTCACCAATTTGAGGATATGGAGAAAAATTTAAAAGCTATAGGAGTAAAATGCACTTGCTTAATCATTGGAACTTCGAATTTTAACCATGTTTGACTTGAGCAATCTTATATTCGGGACCTCCTTAAATTTTTTCTAGAAAAAATTTTGCCATGCTCGAGTAAAATAGGGGTATGTGAATAAATCGAGACTATATGCAAATCAGAGTGATCCCGAGGATATGATGGTTAAGAAATACTTTTAAAAAAAAAATTATATTTACTACTTTTGTTAAGATACATTTTTGTGTTCCGTGGTTTAATGATAGAAACTTTAAAGCTAATCATGTTTAGCTTGGAGCAAGTCTATGCTCGGTCACGGGTATTTGTTTTCAAGTTTTAAGCGAGTCAATGAAGAGGATCGTGCAAGCTTGATCTTCATAGATTTAAAATCTCGTAGCTAGTTTTATAAGTATAGCTAATGTTTTTACTGTCAACTTTTGTTCGTAACAAATGTTTTTATCCATGCTAGTTTATAGCAACAAAATTTCTATTTTATCGCTACAAGTTTCGTCGTTGAATTTTTTTTCTTTCAATGCCATGCGTCAAGAGCAACTCGACAGCTTAACCTAACACGATTCTCCCTTTGCAATTATAAAGGCACACACAACAGAGTAGTATGCATGCCTTGATTAGCTTCCTTCATCAAGGGCGGTTGGCTATTGACTTCTATCTCGACTTTAATGGACGAATGAATGTACCTACTCGTCCTGGTAGGTAAGAGTTCGTCCTTGTGTCGTGTAACTTAGGAGACCAATTTTCGGCCATGGTAGGCGCACTTTCATTGACTTGTTACTATCAATAGACAACCTATACCCACAAATTGGATCGAGCGAGGCCGATATCTAAGTCCATGAATCTAACAAGGTAATGATGCGTTCTTTTCTTATAAATAGACCATTCTCACTCCATTATTAAAGTAGAAAAAAAAACTTTTTAGACAAAATTGTTTCACACCACTTTTTTAATCTCAGTTATGTACTATCGAAGAGTGTCGAACGAACACTTTGAAACCAATGCACAGCTCTTTATCTGGTAAGTATTCTTCTTTCTTTCTTCTCTCGATTTTCGGAAACTCGAATAGTACTGATGGAGAATAAAGTCAACTCATGTAGTTTTCGAACTAAAATCATCATCAACCGTCAAATTTAGCATACTATAGTACAGGGCGAATCCCTCTGGAGACTAACCCCAAAGTTCGAGCCCTATGCAGAGTTATATATGTATATATATATATATATAATTGTTTTTTTTTTATAAAAAAATAAATAATTATAATTATAATTATTATTTAAATTTTATGGATGAGTCTAAATTTAAGAGTAATAATATAGAATTAAAATTGTATTTTTTTAAAAAATATTTATGTTTATATATATTGGAAAGAGGGTGTTTTAAAATTTTATATAGTTATAAAATTAAAAAGATTTGAAAGTCCAATCAATTTGCCATGACTAAAATGGAAACCCCATCCTACCTATGGACATACATTTTTAATGGATATTCAAAATCATGTATGGGACCATGCCTCATCCCATAATACTTATAAGGGCGTCCTAATTTTGTCGGTTGAAGTATAACTCAACTAATTAATAAATATATCAATAATTAAAATGTTAAATGTTTGATTAATTTTTATTGAATGGTCAATTTTACAGGTACACGGTTTGGATAAGTGACCCAAGCAACCTAAATAGAATTCACAGCTCAACCTAATCAACCCTCTATTTTCGAGTTGGGTTGGGTTGTCGGTTTATTTTTTTATAATTATTTAAAAAATTCTACTTATCGATCATATAAGTTACATTAATAACTAAAATATCAAATATTTACCGGTCACAACCCATCATCAAAATCAGATTCAAATGTCAAATATTCTTAAAATTTATAATAATCTAAAAAGTAGGGGTAGAGTTTGGTTGGTCGAGTTGACCCATTTTTTTTTTCAATTCTTCAAAAATTCAACCCAACCCAAACTCCGAAAAATCTAACCTAATCTAACTTTTATGATTTGGGTTAGTCGGGTTATTGGGTCAAACCTTACCTTTTGACTTTACTAAAAAAATCTCGTATCAATGAAGATATTGTCTCTAGTTTATATATTTATGATCTTTCCTTTACTGTATCAGACTTTGGTTGACTCTAAACAGTTTCGAGATCGATCATATCTTGATTAAATATTTAACGGGTGGATAATGGAAGAATTTAAATTTTTTTTTTTAATTTTTAAAATTTCCAAAAATTTTATGGATCTATTTGGAGGCAACGCATTGAATTCCATATTCTTTCGCCCATTCATATTTTTTCAAAGCCGTTTGGTAGAAAAATTAGGAGTTTAGGTTTGGTTTCATTCAACAATTTTTAATGGGTTTTGCTTACAAGTCAAGAAGTTAAAAATTAGGGATGGGAGTGTTTTGTTTGAACCCTTTTGCTTAAATGCACGTTTTCGACGTTATACGATCAGTTGTGCTTCAAAAAACATCATCATTAAAAAAAATATTAAAACGAAGACGCTATTCTAATCTCCCAAACCCACAATTTCATTTGATTGAGATGAGTAGCTATAGCAGATCCATTTTAGTAGCAACATTTTTCACAATCCCGAAAGAGATAGTTCACTAATAGACCAAGGGATCAGGGCACAAGGGTTTTGGTACTATCCATGTGCTTTCTCGTATCCTTATTTCATTTGAAACCCTCCTATAACGAAATAACAAAAACGCCGTCGGTAAAGTGGTCGTTGATCAATCGTATGGTTGATATGTTAATACCTATCTATTGTATTCCCTAGAGTATTTTTTAGATTTTTTTTAAAAGTATTTATATTAATTTTGATTTTATTGGTAAAAGATTTTGGGTCTCGAACTTGGGCCCCAAATGGGCCCACTTCAATTTTGGGCCGATTTGTAATAATTTAAGTAATATAATGGTCCCGAGTTCGATTCTACAAATGCCCTTTTTCTCTATTTAAAATTTAATTAAACAAAAACTTTCCAGGCTATTTGTTATACCAACAATACCCCTTACATAAACACTCTTCTGGAGAAGGCATCAAGGGTAATTTCGTCCAAAATAGAATTCAAATTTATCCTTTCATTTCTGGCGATCGCAGTACTGTACCTCTATCCTATCTTCTTCTCCAAATTATTTGATCTCGCTCTCTACAGAGATGTCTTCCGCTCTCTCCACCGCTTCGCTCCGATTCCCTTCTTGTTCTTCATCCTCTTATCCATCAAATTTCTCCCATTCCCTCAGATCCACTTCAATCCAATTTCCATTCTCTTTCTCCTCCACCAATCTCTCTCTTCGCTTTGTTCATTGCCGCCCACTCTCTGCCGCCGCTGTGCCGGAGAAAGTTACAGAAATCGGCGATGTCATCTCCAAGTTGACTCTCGAAGAGGCTCGTACTCTAGTTGATTACCTCCAAGAGAAACTTGGTGTTTCCGCCGCCGCTTTCGCGCCTGCCGCCGTCGTCGTTGCTCCTGGCGCAGCTGCCGGAGGTGACGATGCGGCTGCCGTTGAGGAGAAGACGGAGTTCGATGTTGTTATTGAGGAAGTGCCGAGTAATGCGAGGATTTCGGTGATTAAGGCTGTTAGGGCTTTGACGAGCTTGGCGTTGAAGGAAGCGAAGGAGCTGATTGAAGGTTTGCCGAAGAAGTTTAAAGAAGGAATATCGAAGGAAGAGGCGGAGGATGCGAAGAAGCAGCTTGAAGAGGCTGGCGCAAAGATTGCTATCGTTTGATTTGGCTGGTTAGTTTCTTCAATTTTTAAGGTTTACAATGTAGGCATTCTAGTCGAATTAGAAATGGGGTTATTTTTTGTCGTTAACTATTGAAAAATTTAGTTGATATTCTGTTCATGAATGCCTTATTGCTCCTGAATTTTTGTGTGCTCAACTCGCCATTGCTCTAGCTGTGTTCTGTCCTGTTGCTCTTTCTTGCATATAATGTGTTTGTTAAAATGCCAACAAGAAGTTTAGCTTAGGCGTTCTATTGAAATTAGAGTTGGGGTATGTTCTGTTCAATTGTTAATTGATGAATACAATTTTATCAAAGCTAAGCCTTATAAAATGGGAAGAGGAGTATGATTTATCAAGAAATCGGCAGTGGGCGGTACACATTCTTCCCAAAATTTCAAAATTTCTTAGGTTCCCTGAACAAGGAATATTTAGGATATGTTGAATCTTGTGTTCAACCATGGAGTGTTGTTCAGTTTTGTTCAGGCTGTCCAACACACGAAAGCTGATGAATAACACCTTTAGATTGAAAAATGACAACTCTAGTGCATCAAAACGAAATTGTTTGATGGAATCCCAAACTGTGTCTCAATAACCCTACAAGTGTTGAAACAGAAAAGATAAGCAGCATGAGTATAAGTTTGATATGGCCCCAACATGCTTGTGTGATGTAAAAGATAGTCTATTCTGTTTAGCCCAAGGACACTAAACAAGGTGTAGAGATTTCTTAGCGGAATCAAAACAAAGAGCATCCCTTATAGCAAGCAAGAAGATTATTATTTGAGGAGTGGCCAAGACAAGCATGTCAAGTCCTACAAGAAACAAAGTAGAAAGCCAAGTCTTAGTTTTCCCAATCATCCAAGAGAACTCTTCCTGAAGGAGACATGAAAATCACCATCCAATCGGACCTCAATAGGTAAATTTCTAGGTCAGGGCCTGATGGAGATGAGATTGAAGTGAAATGATGGAATGAACTCAACATTATTAGGTAATTTTTGGTTCATGCCCTCATGGATAGGAGAGTGAAGCGAAATACTGGAACGAACATCACATTACTCGGTAAATTTATAGTTCCGGCCCTGATGAAGATGAGATTGAAGCAAAATGATGGAACGAACATCACATTATTCAATGTTCACATTATTCAGTAAATTTGTAGTTCAGGCTGTTAGATGAACATGATCCTCAACAATGGTATGATATTGTCTACTTTGAGCATAAGCTCTCATGACTTTGTTTTGGGCTTCTCCAAAAGGCTTCGTGCCAATGGAAATAGTATTATTTGATTATAAACCCATGATCATTCCCTAAATTAGCCAATGTAGGACTTTCATCTAACATCTCCTCTCGAACAAAGTACGCCTCCCCTTAATCGAGGCTCGACTCTTTTTCTTTTGGAGTCTTAGTCATTTTTTACTATGCCTTCGAAGAGCCTCGACTCCTTTTTCTTTTGGAGTCCTTTGTTCGACATTTGAGGACTCTATTGACATAGCTAAGTTTAGGGCATGACTCTAAAATCATGTTAGATGAACGCGACTCTCTACAATGGTATGATAGTGTCCACTTCGAGCATAAAAGCTCTCATGACTTTGCTTTGAGTTTCCCGAAAAGGCCTCATTCCCATGATCATACTCTTGTCCTAATTTAGGAAATACTCATGGGTATAAGACCTTTTGGGGAAAGCCCAAAGCAAAGCCATGAGAGCTTATGCTCAAAGTGGACAATATCATATTATTGTGAAGAATCGTGTTCATCTAACACATGCTATGATGGAAATGAGATTGAAGCGAAATCATGGAACAAACACCACATCATTAGGCCAACTTCTAGTTCATGCCGGATAGAGATGAGATTAAAGCAAAACGATGGAATGGACATCACATTATAGAGAATGATGAGTCGTCACCGTGAGATGAATATCACCAATAAAATCCATAACAATTCATGAACGATTAGGCAGAGAAACAGTCATATCGAAAAATCTGGAAGAATCTCGAGTGCTATGAAATCTTAAAGAATCTCGAATGCACCCGAATGAAGGATCCAATGCTCAAAATGTAGGAGCAGCATTAGAACACAGAGAACCCAAGTAGAGGCCAGTAATCCTTGACATTGTTCAATGCTAAATGCTGAGAGAGGATCAGAACGAGTATGAACAATTCTTCACCATTGTTGAAGCTTCAAATAACAAAATGATGAGGCTCTATTGGAAAGAGTATCTATGTTTAGGATTGTCGAGGTATAAAATATATTCCTGTAATAAGGATGGTTTGGGCCATCATCAGCCCAATATAATGGGCTTTTAGAACATAGAGGTCCACATCGGGCCCGAGTGAAAAGGCCCAAATGGTAAGATATAAAATGCCAAGAGGAGTCCTCTCTTCCGCGTTGTATCAAATGGGAATTCCGAAACCCTAATTCGTAGAGCCGCAGTTCTCCGGTGAACGTTGTTTTTCTTAATCTTTTCGTTCGATTTTCAAGTTTTTCTGTTATTACGGCGAGGATGATTATTGCTCTTTATTTCTGACACCTCTTGTATGAGAAGTGCGTTCTGAAAAAGATCGCTTTTCATTGAGCAGATTCAGCAACTCTCTGAGCCATTTTTTCTGTTTACCGAAGCTTCTCTGTTGTTTTTCTTTTCAATTTTAAATCGTCTTTAGATTTGTTCGATTTTTTTGCTTCTCTGACTGATGTCGTATCTTGAATGTAAAAGAGTTTTCATCTATTCTGTCGTCGACTCGTAGCTGCTATTCTCCAGTGGCTTTCTCGTTCGCCACCAAACATTTTAACTTCTTGCGAAAAATGGATTATGATTGATGCTAAATTAATCTTTTGAAAGACTTGTCATTCTACATCGATCATTATGTTTGATACCTTTCATATTCACAAATCTGTTTTAAAAATACTCGGGACATTTTCGAGTTACAAATCTTGTGATTTGTTCTACTCTTTTAGTCTGATTCTACTTCAATTTGTCATTATGATCATTATGATTATTATGGTTGATACTTTTTCATATTCATAAATCTTGTTTCAACAGTACTCTTGGACATTTTTTTTGTTACAAATTTTATGATTTGTTCTCTTGTAGTTCGATTCTGCTTTGATTTGTTAATACGATCGATACTTCTCATATTCACAAATCTTGTTTCAAAAGTAGTCTTGGACACTATCGAGTTACAGATCTTATGATTAGTTCTCTTATAGTTTGATTCTAAATCGATTTATCAATTTGTCATGATGATCGATACTTCTCAGATTTGCAAGTCTTGTTTCAAAAGTACTATTTGACATTTTTGAGTTACAAATTTTATGATTTGTTCTTTTTTGGTTAGATTCTACATCGATTATTCATTAGGATCGATACTTCAAATATTCACAAATCTTTTTTTTCAAAGGAACTCTTTGGACATTTTTGAGTTACAAATCTTATGACTTGTTCTTTTTTAGTTCGATTCTATATTGATTTAACATTATGATCGATACTTCTCATATTCACAAATCTTGTTTCAAATGTACTCTGGGACATTGTCGTAGTTACAAATCTTGTTTTGTTCTCTTTTAGTTCGTTTCAACTTTGATTTGTCGTGACTATCGATCCTTCTTATATTCACAAATTTTGTTTTAAAAGTATCTTGGACATTTTTGAGTTACAAATCTTATGATTTGTTTTCTTGGACATTTTTGAGTTACAAATCTTATGATTTGTTTTCTTGGACATTTTTGAGTTACAAATCTTATGATTTGTTTTCTTTGATATTTTTGAGTTACAAATCTTGTGATTTGTTTTCTTTTAGTTTACATTGATTTGTCATTACGAATACTTTTCAAATTGATTTGTCATTTGTTTTCTTTTAGTTCGATTCTACATCGAGATGCTTTTCTTGTTTCAAAATGTTTTGAGTTACTAATCTTATGATTTGTGTGGTAGCAAATTGATTTATTACCACCATTTTTTAATTGAGCCAACCATACTTTCTAAACCATTAATATTTGTTAATAAACTAGCCATCCATGCCTAAAATTATTGTACTTAGTATATAAATAAGTGTTCCTTTTAAGGATTTTGATTTTAAAATGAACCAACATGGGAATATTTAAGATAAAATTTATGAAAATTATTTTTTAGTTTATTCATATTATAGATAGATAATGTATTTTAAAATTGTATAAAATAATTGTAGTCATTCTTAATTTATTATATTATAAACAATATAATTTAAGATAATAAAAACAAGTTTATAAAATATTGTCCAAAGCTAGATTTGAACCTGTTTGGGGGATTATCAGCATTGCCTAAGTCACCTTGACTTGAAGTTTTATCCAATGAAATGGAAACCAAAATGAATCTAGAATTTAGAAAAATTAACCAAATCCATCCCAATAATTCAATTGGGCTGTGTTCAGGTTGTTCATGTTCAAACAAATTAACCCAACCCAACCCCTATAATTTGAGTTGGATGGGTCTTTCTTCTCCTCTGTGTAGTCCTAATCGCAAAATTCTAGGCGTCAACCATCTATTTTTGCCCGTGGTTCAACTTCCTATTTTTGGCCAACGGGTTCAACCTTCTATTTTTGGACAGTTCTCTAATAAAATATATTAAAACTTACACATCAATTTATAATTATTTAAAAAAAAAAAATGTAACATAAACTTTTCATTTTCACAACCACCCTCTTTTCAACTAAACTAATAGAAAAATAAATTCTAAAAGAGTTTTAAACTATTAGAAAATTAAAAATATATATAAATTGTGATATAATAATATTGCAACATACATTAGAATAAACATTGAATACTATGCATCTATTTTAAAATAATTTAAATGTAATTATAAATTCTAATTAATAAATCTATTCTATAACTTAAATACATTAGAATTTAGATTATATATATAATTTATGGAGATTGAACACTATATAAGCATTTATGATATTTATTTTAAATAATTTGAATATATGTATAAATTATAATTAATAAATTTATCCTATTTAAATACATAAGAATTTAAAACATATATATGATTTATGAACATTCAACACCATATAAGCATTTATTTATTTTAAAATAACTTAAATGTATATATAAATCATTTATATTTTAAAATAACTTAAATGTATATATAAATCATAATTTTGAACTATATTTGTTTGTATTATATAATAAACTATATA